TTTTTTTTTTTTTTCAATGGGGAGTGTGCAAACCCGGGTGTTGACCCGGGTGTGCACAAATCATTTTCCTTTAGTGATTCACTAGAACTCTAGCTCTTCCTTTTCATTTATTTACTTTTAAATGATGCATTCAGATAAGAAGACGAATGTATTGAAAAAAAAAAATGTTAAATATCAATAATAATAACAATAACAATAACTATAATAAACAACTTGTCTAAGCACTATGAAATTGGCAATTATTGCATGGCTATCTTTCAAAAATTCAAAGATTAACAAATTGGCACTAAAATAACAATAAGGACACAGATTCAATTGTAGAATCTTGATTTCCCTCGCGCTTTTATTTCACTCCAGGATTTAAAATCTTGTTCTTTCTATACCAAAACAAACACAGAACAAGGACATTCACTAGTATCAAAAGCAATTTGTCATCAGAAATTGTACTAATTTACAAATTTTCCCTCCTTTATTAACGATAATTTTAGACTCAGTAGTAATCATCATATAGCTTTCTTTATTAATGAGAATATGAATTTGTCCTCTTTGATAATAGTTTTACAAAATAAAATACATAGGTAGTGAACTTACTAATCAACACCTTGGCTACCACACAAAAATGCTCCTCATGAGACAACACAGTAGCCTTGTGATACAGTTGATACAGCTCTGCTCCAAACCCACCATGAGGTAGCCAATCAACAAAACAAAATTGAAAGCCTCTGTACAGCTTAAACTAGAAAAGAAAGGGAACATGTATGCTGCAATGATTCTTGTGTTTTAGCACACTAAAGCTTACTTTTTCATTAATTTTGAAATTAGTACCAGCAAAAGTTATAGCACTCGATTTAGATTGATAATAATTTGAAAAATGCAATTTGCTTCCAACCCTCTTCTCAAATTTTATGTGCATCAATCCATGGACCGTTCAAGTCTAAGCCCATTCATTTCCTAGGTGTAAAGAACAACAGCCCTCCAACCAGACAAAAACGGAAATTTCTCTAGTCTTCTGTAACAATAAGGGGGAAAAATACCTATATGATTTTAACAAATACCTAATAGAGAACAACCTGAATGTAAAAAGTCCCACAAGATGTAGTCATGACACCAAGGAATAAGTATTTTGAACTCTAAAAGATCAATACCACCTAGTCTTAGTGAAGTGTACTCTTCAAAAGTCTGAAATCCTTTAACAAAAACAAAAAGAACCATGATACATCCACCCAATGAACCGGCACCCATCTCAACACTCATATTGTTTTAAATATTAAAATTGCAAATTTACCCTCCTCATTTTACACATAGGTGTTGAGATGGGTGCTGGTTCATTGGGTGGATGTCTCATTTCCCAAACAAAAATTAAAAAAACTCAATTACAAGTAATTCAAAATTCTTCAAATGAGATGGTGTACGTGATTAGTTAATTATGATTAGTAAAGGCCCTCAATAAATTATATCATGTATACCTTTACCAAGTTTGCAGATAAAGGGTACATTTTTTTTTTTTTTT